AGGAGGAGGAGGAGAAAAAAAATCACCCTGGAAACTCAGGTTGGGGCTCCTATTTTTTTATTTTATTTTATTTTTTAGGGAAGGATCTACAGGGTGTTCAGGGTCTCACTATTAGATCGGACTCGTAGTAATCCACCTGTTTACAGCCTCCCAAGAGCTGGGATTACAGGTGTGCACCACCACGCCCAGTCTCAATGGGCGACTCAGCCTGCTCTGGGGGTGGGGCCAGCACAACAGGCCTGGGATGGAACCCCGACCCCTGTTCCTGCTTGCAGGCGCTTTAATCCGCTGAGCTGTTTGGCCGGCCCTCCTATTCATTATTGGCTACAGCAGCCCAGCCTGTGTGTCTGTACTGTGGCTAGAAAAGAATTACCCCCAGCTTCCAGCCAGGAAGAGGCTGCACAAGACCCTGCGGGGTCGGGGAGCACTCTCAGCTGGGTGACAGGCAGTGAGCCTTCGGGGACTAGAAGTGGAGTGGCTGCTGCAGTGGTGAGGCCTGTGCTCCCGACCTGTTCCCCTCCCTGCTGCTTCCCTCTTTGAATCTATGCAAACACTTCTGGCCTGGGTGGGAAGCCCACCCTTCACACAGGCGGCTCTGTGCCCCTCTCACCTTTGATGTACTCGCAGTTGTACACGCTGCGCTTGCCCAGGGCGCGGAGGTAGATGCGGGCAGGGCCCTGGGCCGGTCGGCTGGCATTGATCACCTGGAAGGTCTCAAAGGGGGGGATCAGCACCTCTTCCTCTCCAGGGAAAAAGGAATAGCCCTTGATAGGCGCGCCTAGGCAGGTCCAGATGCCGAAGAAGGTGTCCTGGCCGAACTGCTGGGCTGCGACGTTCTGCAAGGACGCGGAGGCGAAGCCCCCCAGCCTCACTGTGGCCCCAGGGCCCGTTGGGCGTAAGCGCAGGCCGTGCACCCCGCGGTACACCTGGTGGCACCGGGGCGGACCCTGGCCCGCGCCCAGCAGCTGCAGGGCCTCTGTGAGCAGGAAGTGCAGCGTCTTGAAGGGGAAGCGCTGCAGGTAGTGCGCCCGGGAGCGGCCCGCCTCGCGCACCGCCGCGTTGAACTCCTTGTGCAGCGGGCTGTTGGCCGTGTAGGCCAGGAGCGCCACCCCGTGCTCGTCCCGGAAGCCCGGCGGCGCGGGCGGCGCAGCGCTCGGGCCCCACGGGGCGCCCCAGGCCTGGCGCTCCCGCCACTGCCCGCCGGCCAGCGCCCAGCCCTCGGCGTACACGCGGTTGGCCTGGAACTCCGAGTGGTTGAGCTCCGGGAGCGCAGCGCGCATGGCCGCGGCGCAGCCCGCGTACTGGTCGTCGAAGGAGGCCAGGGCCATGTCCAGGGCTGCTTCTTGAGAGAAGGTGCCTCGCCGGGTGATGGAGTGCCTCTGGGCCTGACGGACAGACCGTGGGCCCCGGTCACCCTGGGATCGGAGAGAAGAAAGAGGGAAAGGAGACAAGGAAAATCATGACTAACAACTGTACTTTTGGAAAGACTGCAACGTCCGGGACCGGGTGAAAGTCACCCAAGGCGATCCACGTGGGCACCCCGGGGTCGACGTGGGCCCCTTTCCTTCCACGCCCAACACACCCCGAGTGCTCAAGGATATTCTACGTCCTTAGATTGGCTTAGTTAAGAGAGTAAAGAGCAAAAACCTGATCTTACGATAAAAAAAAAGACTGGGAGAATTCAAAGAATGGTTAAACTATCCATCTAAAAACAAAACAAAAAAATAAAAATAAAAAAATTTTTAAAAAGGGCCGGTGAGATGGCTCAGCGGAATAAGCGCTTCCCTGGCAAGCACAAGGGCCTGAGTTCAACCCCTGGTTCTGCAAAAAAAAATAAAAATAAAATAAATAAATAATAAAAACAAAACAACAACAACAAAAAAACTAGACTGAGCTTCTACCTGTAAAATGGGCCAGTATCCTTCTGGAGGTGGGCCAGCTTTATCACAGGTTTTCACCCCCTGGGCAGAAATATAAATATTCCCGGTTCCAAAAGAAAGTATGGGGGCTGGGGAGATGGCTCAGTAGAATAAGCGCTTCCCTGGCAAGTGTAAGGGCCTGAGTTCAATCCCTGGTTCTGCAAAAAAAAA